TATTTCCTAATAACCATTAGCTACAACACAAAAGCTAATTTTAAACAATGCTAAGTGTTCTGATGGGACTTACTATTTCCTAATAACCATTAGCTACAACACAAAAGCTAATTTTAAACAATGCTAAGTGTTCTGATGGGACTTACTATTTCCTAATAATCATTAGCTACAACATTTCTTTATATATTAAATACATAACCATAAAACATTACATAACAAATGGCATATTATTTTAGTATTAGCTTCGATTAATGAATAATACAGAGCTATTATGATGATCAGATTCATTAATTATCAAATCACTTGATAATTCTGTGTGAATGAAATATCTAACTAACATAACATAGCGAGATACATTAAATTTAGGTTTAGTCAACGTTAATCTCAGATTGAAAGATTAAGGTTTGATATAGCTATCGTTAATCACGCACTAATATATTTATTTTTGATATAGCTAAAGTTAATAATAACCAAATTTAACTTTCATCTTTGATGATTTCAACATTAATCTTATTCTAAAAGATTAACATTTCATATATCGAACAATAATTTCAGATTAAAAGAGTTAATCTTTATTACTAACTCATCTTGTTTAGTGCTCCTTTTAATTGAAGTCACAGCTTACACTCTCATGCTGAAAATTCAAAGTTTTTTATTCTGTTGAAATTGTTTTAGTACTGTTACAAGGCAGAATCTTACTGCCATGAAGATTTATCTTACATCATTTTTTTCATGCCTTTATAGCCTAAAGTAAGCTCTCTTTGAAAGCGTTCATTTATAGTTATTGCTGTAATGGTACGGTTTATTCTGTAAAAAAAAAATAGCTTTAAAATTTTTCGAAGGATATATTTACTGTACGAGTTTTTTCTTTCTCTTTATTTCTTAAATTAACTTGATTATCTGTTATTTTGTGGATACAGTTTTAGCGATTCTTCGCTCTGTCTTTTAACTTTCATCGCATCGAGTTTACCTCTGTTTAAAAAAATAAACATTGCTTGTTCGAGATATATACGATTCGCATTTGTTTGACGTAATTTTCAGAAATGTTATCCAGATTATGTTTTAATTAGTGTAGCGATAAAAGTTCTGTAAGTTAGTTGGTGCAATGAACAAAAACTCTTAACTCAAATTAAACGTTTAAGTCTTTATTTCAAGAATCACTGACTTCCAAGATTGTATTATGGAAATATTTCCCTGATGATGAGAGCGCTTAAATAAACCATATAATAACTAAAGTTGATCTCTCAAACTGTAGAACGGTTTGATTTTTACGTTGTTTCATCGTTCCTTGATTTATTTGTATTTTTTGACGCCCTAGTTACTGAAAATCTGCATTTTTCAGCTAATCGATTTTCTAACAAAGTTTTTTAACAATATAATTTTTTATCCGAGTAAATATAATTACTAGATGTTATGGGGGTTTGCCCACCTTATATATAACTACGTCTTTCACGATGGCAAACTAAGAAGGAAACGTCTGCATGCAAATTATGTTTGTTGTTAAACCCAAAATTACACCATAAACCATCTTTTTTTTTGAGCCCTCCACGAAAAAATGAACCCTGGAATTTAATGTTACAAATAATCACTTTTACGGGCTGAGTTAATGAAGAGCGAGAAATTCATGAATTATACGTTGTTAGAACACTTTAGTAACTGCATAATGTAAACTTAGCTCTTAACGTGAATATATATATATTATATTTTAATTCGGATCTGTAAGTTCTATTACTTGACTTTAATCTTTTAGCATCTTAAATTTTTAAAATATTTTTTGTACTTGGGGCAGCACAGGAAATGTTTATGTGTTTTTTGCCTTATTTTATTTCCAAAAATACACGTTAGAAAAACTCCGAAGTACGATTTTTACTTGAGACCTGTGCTGAATAGTTATAATTTTTCTATACGAAATATTGAAGCTATGTCACTGTTTCATGACTATAAAAAAAACGTGATTTACACGTTTATGCAGCCAATCTTGACTAGCACTTAACCCCCCAAAAAAAACAAAAAAAAACAACAGCAAGCAAATACTTTCTCAGAATGCGCATACAGTTGTTTTCAGAAATATAATAATCTCTTTAACGTTTTCCTGAATAACTTACAAACTTTTCATGAAAAAACTGTAACGTTGTTTAAGGATAGTCTGCAAATATTTCATATAAAATCTGCAGTTTTTATAGATAATATACAAACATTTTTTGCAAAATGTGCAGCATGCTCATGTTTGATGTTCAATATGTTTGTGTGAAATCTGCAACGTTTTATTTAGTTACTAAAAAGACAAAAGTCCTTTTATTTTAATAAGAAGAAAATCGACATCGTACTGTCTAAACATAAGCTATGAAATATATATATATATACCCCTACACACAAACAAATATATATACATATACATTCATCCTTTTGTGTACGCACAGTAACCATAAGAATATACTTATTCAAATTAAATTTATTTATTGTGTGTGTGTGGATAGCTGCCAAATAGGTTATCTGCGCTCCCTCTCTGCCAAGTGTATGGAGCTCGATTTCTAGCGTTATAAAAATTGGGTTAGTTAGTTTTAATATCGATAATCAGCCAAAAGAAGCAATGCTTGTTACAAACGTTCCTTTTTTTTCTTTATTAATTTAATTTCATTATGGTGTATAGTCTGAGTGTGGCCTAACAATTATCGTGCGACTGTTTATGATTTACGTCAGGTTGCCGCGAAATTGCAATCCAAATTTTGAGGTCGTTGATTTTTTCATAAGAGTGAGAATCAAATCCAACTGCTCAATAAGTTTGTTTTTGTTTTGTTTTTGTAATTAAGCACAAAGCTACACAATGGGCTATATGTGTTCTGCCCACCACGGGTATCGAAACCCGGATTCTAGCGTTGTAAGTCCGCAGACATACCGCTGTGCCACTGGGGGCTGCTCAATAAGAGTAACGAAAGAGTTGACATTGGGTCCTGTTGACTAGCTTTCTTCCCTATAGTACATCAGGTAAAAAGTTAGGGACATTTTAACAGCATTGTTAAATTGAAGCATATTTGCTTGTTTGTTTTTAACTAAAAGAGATTGTGAGCAAATGTGAATGTTTTTTTTTTGATAATTGGATTCTGTTAATTTTTGACCAATTTGAATAAAAATTGATAAGACTGTCAAATGAATTATTAGTTACGAAGAATGAGATATCTTCCTCATAACATAGTTATTGTGCAAACATGCCTAAACTATCCAAACTTAAGAATTGAAAAATATAATAACAATTCTTAAAATATCTAAAAGTGGAATCTAAATAATTTCATTGTATTATTCTTGGTTTATTAAAAGAAAAATGAAGACTTAGATCTCCTGAAAGCCTGTCCTGAACACAAGAAACGCTATGTCTTTATATGAATGTTTGTTCAGCTTGTCACAGATTTGTCAGATTGACAAAGCAACAATAAAATAAAAAAGGATTCCACGGGAGGGAATTCCAAAGGGACCCATTTACTGCTCTGCAAACATTAATCAAAAATATATTTCACCTAGCGGATTTCGGTGAGAACTTATTTAACTTCTTGAAAATACCAATTTAAAATAATTACTAGTTATCGAATTATTGTTATGTAATTCTATATCTATTATGAAATCATAATAATACATAAAAAGTCTGAATATAAAAAATCAAGTAACAATTATTTCCTCGCAAATTCGTTTTGAAAACAAGGAAGGTTTGTTCGAAGTTAAGCAGCAAGCTACAGAATAAGCTGTCCATGCTGTGCCTACCACAGGTATCGAAACCCGCTTTCTAGTGGTATAAGTCCACAGCCTTGCCGCTGTGCCACTGGGAGGCAAGATCTTAACGCGTT